GTTGGTGCATGTTACCTGGAAATGAATCTAGGTTGATTGGTATTTGAGCATAAGATCACTACAGATTTTTCCCACTTTCACTGTTCTCCTCTACAAGTAGTCTTGTTCAACATAGTACACATTCTTTGCTTCTCTGAGCATGCTGAGATTCTTGGTCATAGATTTGTCAAACTTTTCATCTGCATGATCAATTTGCTTGCACGCTCGCAGGTTGGCATGCCTATCCTTTTGGTCAAAATAAGATCAGACTGCATTCTCTCCTTTAACATTATTACTACGACTCAAAAAAAGAAGTATGTATTTATACTCTTGGATGATAACAAAAATGTGCAATTATTACAAAAATACAAATGTCCTATCTAAAAACTTAAGCTTTTAGATGAGTTGATGATTTATACTTATCTAGTGGTTGAAATAGTATCAAAACCTAAAAGTCTTGAGTTCAAACCAAACCAACCAATCCTGCCTTAGATAAGGTTTCTAGAGTTCAACCTTGAAGCTTATGCAATAGAATGTTTCAGCTCAGATTACAGGGTATTACAGCTAGGATCACTGAGCTTTTGCTATTCAATTTTTCTTAAATCTTTGTTGGTTTGGAAACTATTTTCACTCGATCTAATCAAGAACCCTGAACTTGATTGATGCCATGTGCTCAAAACAAATAAAGTGCCACACATAATCTTAATGGTGCCCAAGTTGTTTGAACTGTAACAGTATACTATCAGACTGATTCCTTATCCAAGAGATTTGATTATGCTGTCTGATTCCAGTAATTAATCAGCGTTTGAAAAATTAGATGCAAATATTTTTAGCATATCAAATTGAAGTTTATTGTAGCATCTAAATTGATATTTGAATCACTCAAGGTCCCCTGCTTTTGGTGTTCAAGGTTATATGCCACCCATCCCTCTGTACATTTTGCTAAACTTCTGCTACATTCAAATCCATGTTGAACATGTAGAACCTTTTTCTAATCTGTAACCCATAATCCAACAATGCACAAGTACACAGCACAAAAATCCTACTGGACATTATTTGATCAGCAACATCAAGGGCAAAATGTGGTACACCACAAGTGCTGGCAGAGACACTTGAGGTTAACTGATAAGGATCAAGGAGAGAGAGAGAGAGATTTGTCAGACGCATTCAAGAAAATTCACTTTTACGTTAAATTCAGTACCTCACTAATGCTAATCAACACTTCCAAAGAAGCACATCAGATGATCTAGAAAACAATTGCAACTATTTACAAAGCATACCTGCATTGAAATATGGCACAACTAAGCCTAGAAACACTATGTTCCAGTCTGCTTTGGCTCGATCTCTTCAAATCCACATACATTGATGATTTCGACAAATGTTCCAGCGTCAGAAAACCAGAGGGGTAATATATGAGACTTCATAAATTAATATATGAGGTGAGAACCCAAAAATATACCAATTTTCACCCACATGTTCAAGAGGGGGTGAGTTTTGAACTTCAAATGGCTACATTTTCTCTACTTTGAGTTCAAAGTTAAATATGCATTCTCCAGAATTATTAAAGGGAAAAAAATTCAAAAACAAGTTGATATGTAGCCAGCAAGACATTATGGCATCAACTTACAATACTAATTTTTGTTTATTTTGAGGGATAAGCATGTTCTATCCCATTGCATTGATTCCTTATCCTTAACATTAGTGTTTGAACCAAAATGGACAAATTCCATGTCCATGGGATGACCAAACACAGCTCAAGATACTAATAAACTGTTAAACAAAATAAATATATTATGTGGTAACTTTTAAAATATACTGGTATGACCATTGTTAACAGCTTACCGGTATCTCATTCATCCCTTTTTTGCCGTATCCTGCCTCTGGAGGAACAAGCACAGTTCTCTGTACAACAAGAAGAAAGATTAAAGGTGAGCTGATAAACAGGGAGTTGACATAAAAATGTATTAAAAAATACATAATGCACAGAAAAAAAAATAAATGAAGTCATGCAGTATGAGCATGCAGAGACAATAAAGGAGGATATTCTACCTTCCCCCCTACTTTCATCCCTTCGGTCATTATGTACATGGCCGTTGGGGCTTTGGTGCAGCTTGTGCAGAGAACAGACCATTTGGATTGTCCACAAATTCACGCTTTCGTTCTTTTCCAGGGGGAGCTCCAACCTGGAACTCATAAGGCTACTTGGAACACAATGAATCATGTACCATTTAATTATACATATATCCAGAATTCAACACATTGATCCAGTGTTTATAGTTATGCTAAGAGATCAATAGAGAGTAAACACCTGTGCAATGATGCAATTTCCAGCCAAGAGTTTAGATTCTCGACTTGACACCGCTGTAATACCACGATATAAGCAGTCGAAATGCACCTATAATGATAGACGCCATAGAAAGCTGTAAGTAGCAAAATCAATGCATGAAAACACACAATCACTAGATTACATGGCACCATCAAACCCGCACTGTTGATCCTTTTTCAGCTACAGGGCCATTTCCCTCAACAACATCATAGTATTTCAGTCCATCAGCTACTAGGAAAACAAGACCAATTCGTAAAGGATAATGAGCAAAGAAGAGTGGAGACGTCTCTTAACACTGTTTGACAATGTTCATAACTTTGGCTTGGGAATCAAGTAGTTAGAATTAATTGCAAATGGAATAATGCACAGTACTCTTCTATCTAGTCAATTTCACCTGATAAAAACTCTGCATGTGTATCAACCATATGCAATTTTTGCAAAATCACTGTAGAAGTGACTCCCCAAGGACAAAGTGGGCACCAGCATTTTGTAAAATGCTAGGAAAAAACTTTCCAAATATTGATGGAGCTATACGCTCAATCGAGATGCTGAAGCACAATATTTTCACTTAATTACAGGTCATATGCAACAAAATCTTTACTTAGCAAGCTCATTAATAGACAATTCAAGTTGTTTTTGTAAAGATTTCTTCGGTGAAGATGCTTCTAAGTTCTTTTTTTTCTAACAATTGTTGATGAAGTAAATAGATTGAATAGATAATCATAGTTGTAAGCGATAGCACATTCAAAAAATCTCTGTCAAATTGCACATCTATTCACTTAGAATCAGGTTAAGCATGTCAGCTCAGAGCATACGTAGTCAAACTACTAAGAGTCTGCATGCATCATAAAGAGGGCATCAATCACATGAGAGGGAGTTGGTTTAGTAAAATGCATCTCTTTTGAAGCACTTGGCATCATGCACTCCTCCTTACCCACCTATCAACGTATTTCCAACAGCCAAGGTAGCTGTTATTATGATAATTTCCCCTTTTTTTGGCTGGCGAGCGTGTCTAGATACCTTAAGAATATTCAAATAGTCTATCGGGTATAGCACAACTGGTTTTATTAAAACCCCAAAAGCAATTGATTTCATGACTTACCAACCCTATAACTTCTAGAATTGAACAACTAGAGATATTTGCAATAAACATATTGGAGGTTTAACTGCAGTTCCTAGGTTCCATGACAGTTTCATCCTCAGGGAAGGAAAATTTGATACTCCACCAGGATTTGGCACCCGAGGATGCTTACAGTGCTTAGCTCTGTCATGCATCCCAGCATGGGTGTTCGAGTGTCTGAATTCACCCTGTTCAAAAGAGACCAACATATGTTGTCCATCATTCTCCCAATAAGGCAGGTTCTTTTGGTGTGCGGGTTTGGACTACTACACCTATCGTGGGTGTTACATGCGTTTACTCACTCAAAGTAAGCTCTCTCTCTCTTCAGCAAAATAGTTCCAAGGAAACGAATTAGGGTTTCAATCTAGACATAATAGTTCTCGTGAGCAAGAAATTTCAAAGCAGGATCACTCCTATGCGATTGTAATTGTTTGAAAGTGATAGCAAGCAATTGCGTAAAATTCTTGAATTCATTGCACATTGCTTGTAAATTCCTAACATATGAACATATGAGAAATCCAATGGTAGATGTAAGGTGGGTTCCCTTTGCATTAACAAACGTTTATCAGAAAAAAACAAGAAATTGAAGAAATCCAAGAGACATCACCCCAAGAACATGAACAGATAATGACAATGATGAAAAAAATAAAGCCCAACAAAGCACAGTTAAACAAGAGCAAGTATAAAGTAAAGAGTGATTAACAGCTGGTGAGGTAGTCGTCAAGAGGGATGGCCATTTTGTTGCGCCTCTCTCTGGCCAATGATGGCAGGGGTAGTCAAACGAAGCCCAAAGGAAGCACAAAGATGAGAATTGCACACCTTCTCGATATGGGTGGTCTTGGTAAAATGACTTGCTGCTTTATATGCTGCTGTGTTTGATTTTTGAAGGTGGGTTTTGAACAACAATGTAGAATATTATCAACGCTGAATCTCGCAAAGCTCTGTAGTGAAGCCATGGCCATTGGAGCCCAAAAAACCAAAAGATTATGATAAAGCCGCCATCTTTATGAGAAGTCTCTATCCACTGCCGTTGGTGCTGCTGTGCTGATTGCCATGTGCACCCTCCAAATGGAACCGATAAATAAGAGTCGAAATGCGCCTAAAAATAAAATCATAGAAATACCTAAAAATAATAATCGCCGTTGCCGGGGACCGAACCCGGGAGGACCAGGTGACACGCGGAAACTTACCACTAAACTAAAACGACATCGTTTTTATAATACCTGTTGAATTCTTTATTAAACTTTTTCAATAAACCACCCAACTTAAGGAACACTAAACTCACAAAATCCTAATAGGGTAGGGTTTCTGCAATTGCTCTGCATCTTATTAAAAAAAAATCCTTGCAGGAGGATAGATTTCAATGTGATAGGTAACAGTGGTGTTGAAAAATTAGTGGCCCAGCTATCATTAATAGAAGTGGATGATGCGCCAGTGCATTGCTTGGTTAGATGCAGTAGAAAAGTAAGAGCTGCGCAAGATGAGCAAATAAAACAAAATTTGAGAAAGTGAAAATCTCAAATCCAACATTATATATCTGGAGAGACAAATTGGCATGATAATGTCATTTCAGTTTCATCGCAGTGTAGAAGAAAATTGGTGGTGCTGGGAATCACTTGGAACAAACACTGGAAGCTGGCCACCTCGTTGTGATCTACCCTGCCGATAGTAACTTGACGTGGAACCTCTCTCAGGATCGGAAGGCAGTGAGTTGCCAGTTCTTGTCCCTCTGCTCAACTGTTCATCCACAGGGGAACCACCATAGAAAATAGATTGACCTGCATATGTAAGCGGCTCTCTTCCGGATACCTGAGAGGAAGAACTAACACTTCTGGTGGCTGCAGAGACAAAGCGCCCAGCTTCTTGATCCCAAAATACTGACGACGACCTTGAATTTTCTGCAGCACCCAAGTTTCTACTCATTGGTACCCTTTCTACATCACTAACTGCAGTTTCATTTGCGTCCTTTGCTGACAAAGGAGATCGATCTACTGATGACATGTACATCGGATTGAAATGATCTCTGTTTGAAGCCAGCTGCTCTAATGGAGAAGGTGTGAGGTTAGGGGGATGAGGGCTGTTTAGGTTACTAATGTTGTGGCCACACATTTCATTATCTTCCCTGCTAGCACGACTGGGAGGATATGAACTCTTCGAAGAAGATAACCTTGATGTTCCTGCTCTAGTATTTCTTTCATGAAATCCATGATTGGTACTGGTTGGACTGCTTCTGCCACTCACATTGCTATTGGATAAATGATCGGAGTCATACGGATGATGTCTGGAACTTACTGGACGTAAAACAGATGATGAAGCTCTAGCCTTGGCCCCTGCCTTGATTGACTCATTAGAGTCCAATTTGGCAAGCTTCCATGCACTTATCCGGACTGGACGCTGGGCTAACCTTTTCCCCTTATCAGGAGGAGGCAATGAATCTGGATCAACAGTGGATGGTAAGCGATCTCGCTCTAGATGAGGGATAATTTCATCCTGGTTATGTACTAACAAGAACGAGTCAGTATGGAGCCTTTATCCTTGGACGTTCAACACAAATATTAAAGTTACTGAAACATGGAGCATGAAATGCATGTGACAGATATCATGGTGCTTCCAATGTTAATAAAGAGAATTCTTTCCATCATGAAGTAGCACTTGCCCTAGAATAGATATATCTAATCACCGACAAAAGCAGGAAATATTTCCAGAAAAAAATAACATGAACCAGAGTTTGGACCAAGAGATAATCCAACCCAAAACCAAGTATACTAGAGCTAGAAACAAATTTCCAAAAAACTAGCAATATTTTGTAAAATAAAAATGTTGTATACAAGTTTGTTCCCATTATGTTGATTACACACGTAGTTTTCTCCAGTCTTTTTTGACACTTTTCCCACAATACCACAAGTAACTTTAGAACTACTTCACCGTCTAAGTTGTTCTAGCTTCCTTTGTTTCTGGGTTTATGCAATGTATTTTCATTAGGTCAGCCTCTAGCTTCCTTTGTTTTTGGGTTTATGTAATGTATTTTCATTAGGTCAGCTAGGCAAACGCCTCCGAATACACCACCCTACATCAACCAAACAAAATCAACTCTATACAGAAGAAAGAAGGAAACTTGATCTAAGTTAAAAAATCTTTGCTGAAAACCTAGCAGATGTTTCATGCTGCAGAAGCGTTACTAAAATAGGCAGCAGTACCTGGTGGTCCATAAAGATTCTAGGAGGAGTACACCAAGCACCTTTATATTGCAAGCTCATTCCAAGAGAGCTTCTTCCGCTCATGGCAGAACTTGTTGGTGAGGATGGCAAACTCTGCAGATCTCCTCCGTCCACAGAGGGCCCAGGAGCTTCACTTTGGGTCCTCATTGCGACAACGTACTCATAGGTTGTGATACCCTGCAACAAAAGAATATGATGGTGTTAGCAGCCTCCTTTTGCCTTTCTATGTTTCCTATTCTCTTTTACCTGGCGAATGAAATTCCAGATGGAAAATATATATCGCATTTGCGAATGCAACATCCAACTACAAAGTTAAGGTTTGTTAAAGAAGGAACAAACCTTTCGAATTAGAATTACGTGGAAAAAGAACAGTTCTCCCAAAGGCACAGTGGCCAGAAAAGAAACAGCTGTACATAGGGCCTGTAATAAGCACATACCAAAGTTGATTTTCTAGGGGAAAAACACAGTAGTACCAAATGCAACCAAAATAAATTCGATCATTCTATGGAATAGAGTCATTAAAAGACCAAAAAAATGGAATTGCAAGACTTTTACCAAGCCAAAACATAACAAAAATAACAAAAGAAAAAAATAGGATAAGAATGATGAGGAGGTAGAGCAAAAGAAGCAAAAGAACAATAAACCCAAATCGCTAACCCCTTTTTTTTTTTGGAAGAATGCAGAAATATTATTGATAACCCCAAGATTACAAGAAGCAAAAGTATAGCTTGAACAAAAAGAGAAAGGCCAAAGTTGGCTTTAATCCTGCAAAATTAAAAAAGGATAACATTCTTCAAAGTGCAGAGACAGCCCAGATACCACCCAGCAAAATGGAACATCATGAGAACCAAGCAGCATCAGGACAAGCAAAGGCGCAAAGGCCATAAAAAGGATGAGAAACAGCTGAAATTCCAGCTGGAGAACCATTAAAACCAGCTGAAACCAGAAGAGACAATCCATAGAGCCCCAGCAGAGAGAAGGTGAGGAGACCAGCTGCAGCTGAACCAGCTTGGGCAAGCAGGCAGGCTCAATAAAGACCTAAATAGCTGCATAAGAGCCGCTGGAAATCCAGCTGAGAGTCCAGCTGAACACCATGAGCAACCGTATGAAAGCAGCCGAAGGAACCAAAACATAACTGCGTCAGCTGAAAACGAGGAGAGCAGCAGCTGAAAGAGATCCATAACCAGCTGACAGACGCAAATCCATGAGAAGCTGAAACCAGCTGGGAAGGCAGCATGATCACCGCAGAAAAACAGCTGTAGCAGGAGCCAGGCAGGTCACGTGAACAGTCGCGTGAACAGTCCCCAGCTACTGTGGCAGCCTGCAATGAAGGCCAGGCGGCAGACCAAGAACCAGCAGACACCATAAGAAAAGACAGCTGACGGAGACCAGCTGAAAAACCAGGTAAAAGGCCATCAAAACCCAGCTGAAGATAGAAGATAACCGAAGAGTGAGGGCCAGCAGCTGCATTAAACAAGCTGTGCACATGAACAGTGCACGTGAACAGCCCAAAACCAGCAGGGCGCAGGAGACCCCCAGCAACATGAACCAGCCCAAAGCAAAAGGACCCCAGAACCAGCCCAACCAACAGCTATTAACCATGATCATCATTTATCAGAGCACACCCAGTGCGCAGAACAGGGAACTGCTCCTGTCTCCCATTCAAGCGCACGTCAACAGTATCAAGCTGCCTGCAAGTGCTATCAACCAAGATCATTTTTCGTCTCAATGTAGACAAAGAAAGTTGATCGTGATGCAACCTCATCTTTCCAGCTATAGGCAGCGAATCAGTACCCAAAAATTCAAAACAGCAGGCTTCGTTGACAGCATAAGAAGCCAGAAAATCTGCAAGACCGTTAGCTTCCCTGAAAATGTGACTAACCTTGATATTAAATCTATGCAAAATTCCACAAATATCATCAATAAACTGTTTATATTTCCAAGGAACCTTGACCTTCCCCAATACCATTCCAACAAGCACCTGTGAATCCGATTCAATAAGAAGTTGATAATTCATTAAATCATGACGCAAAAACAACTTAATACCCTCCAAAAGTGCCTTACACTCGGCCAGCATATTCGAACCCCTGTCATAAAAGGAGGCAGCAGCGACAACAATCAGACCATTCGAATTCCTGACCACCATGCCTCCGCCTGACAAACCAGTTGGCCCCTTTGCTGCAAGCGTCAAGGTCCCATCTGGAGGGGGTTCCCACTTAATCCATAAAGCCTTTGTGATAACAACATGGGCAGCATTAATCTTCAAATCAGCAAGTAACACTTTACCATTACTATCATCACCCTTCTTAGGCTTAATAATAAAAGCCTGAAAACCCAAAGCACTCATAATTTGTAAAAACACAGCATAGGAATTTAATTCTCTTCCTCAAACCGTCTCCTGCGCCTTTCTTTCCAAAGAGCCCAGTATAAAAGAAGTGGAACTCCTCTAACTAGAGCGTGACTCAGCGAACAACATTTAAAAATTCTGCTAAGCCTCAAGAACCTAATAATAGAAGACTCCCCCTCAATCAAACCAAAACCCATCATACTTGCAAACCCTCTCCATATTGATTTTGCAAAACTGCACTCAATAAACAAATGAGAAACAGTTTCCTCTTCTTCGCCACAGAGACTGCACCTGCTTACCAAATCAATACCCAAGTCACGGATTCTTGAAGTAATGGATAAAGCACCCCTAAGGATTTTCCAAGAACATAGCTGTGCACTTGGAAAAATTCTGTGACTCCAGATACATTTAGCAGCCACATTCTGCTCACCCTGCTGCCTGACCTGCCACCATGCATCTTTAACAGAGAAAAGACCAGTACTGCTACTCCTCCAAACCCTTCTATCCCCTTGCTCACAGATCACCACTCCAGCTGATATAATCTCAGACTTCAATTGCTCCCCAAGGACAGAAATAACATCATCCAGCTGCCATTGGTTATTCCCCCACATATCAGCTACAGCAGGAAAATCAGTGGGAATCCCCACAGCACTTTGCAATAAGGGCCCAGACTCAAGCCATGCATCACACCAAAAATCAGTGTTTCTACCTTTCCCTATACTGACCCAGGAATTTTCAACCACAAAATTAAACCAAGGCTTCAAACTTTTAAAAGATTTTGCACCCCTCGATTCCCCACATCTTAACAAGTGCCTCCCCTTAAGAATGTAGATCTGAACATCTTCGCCCAAAGTCAATTACCATTTAGGATATTCCAGACCTGTTTAACTCTGAAAGCTGCTTGAATCTCCTCAAAGCTTCGAATTCTCAACCCACCCTCCTCCTTTGGTTTGGACATCTTATCCAAAGAGACCCAATGTCTCCTTTTAGAGTCCAATTTACAGCACCATATGAACCCAGCGATTAATGAATTCAACTTCCTCATCACGCCTTTGGGTATATTCATACAAGTCAAAATATGAATGGGAATAGCATTCAACACAGACTGCACCATCACAAGTCTACCCATCCCAGATAGAAGTTTGGCATACCATCCTTCAATGATCCTTCTAAAACTGTTGATCACCTCCGCAAAGAAACAATTCCTAGATCTTCCCCTAATAATGGGGAAGCCAAGATAAGAAAAGGGGCAGGTCTTCAAAGGATTCCCACCAAATTGGACAGCACATTCCGTCTAACAATGGGGATTTTTGCTGAACAATACAAAGCACTTTTTGATTTATTTACTTTCTGTCCAGAACAAGATTCATACAAACTTATAAACTTCATCAAGTTTATCATAGATTTCTTCTTACCTCTCAAGAATATTAAGGTATCATCAGCAAAAAGGTGATTCACCAAAAGAGAACCTCTGCCTGTGTGAAAATGGGTGACCAAATTCATCTGATAAAGTCTTCTCAACCCTCTACTCAAAGCCTCTTCAGCAAGAATAAATAAGGAAGTGGATAAAGGATCTCATTGTCTGAGCCCCCTTGAATTAGCAAAATAACCATGCCTTTTTCCATTTAAACACAATGTAAAAAATTGGGTTTTCAGACAGTTAGAGATAATTCTAACTAACATTCCTGAAAAACCAAACTTTTCCAACACCCTCAACAAAAAGTCTCATTCGATCCGGTCATACGCCTTCATCATATCTAATTTAACTACCATATTGCCTCCCACCACCTTTCTATCCAACTCCTCTGCCATTAGCTACCCCAATGACACACAATTCCCAATGCACCTTCCTTTTACAAAACCATGTTGCTCTTCAGACACCAACACAGGAAGTAAAGAAGAAAGTCTCGTAGTGAGGAGCTTTGTAAAAATTTTATAAACAAAATTGCAGAGGCTAATGGGCCGAAAATCCCCAAAGTTAACAGGGCTGTCCTTCTTTAGAATTAGAACAAGAAAAGTAGAGTTAACAGATTTTGGAATTACACCACCTCCCAAAACAAAAATCACAGCAAGCAGTACATCATCTTTGATAATCTCTCAGGATGATTGAAAAAACTTACCCGAAAGCCCATCAGGTCCTGGAGCACTTTCCACAGCCATGGAGATAACAGCCTCTCTGACTCCCTCCATAGAAGCAGCTTCCACCAACCTCTCATTCTTTTGATCACCAACCAGTGAAGGGATTTCAGAAAATATCTCTTCCTGAATAGAATGATTCTCTGACATATACAACTTAGAATAGAATTTTATAGCAACGTCAGCAATCTCATCTTCCCCATGAACCCAAACACTTTCATCATTCTGAATTCTTTTAACTTTATTTCTTACAACTTTACTCTTTGCCATAGCATGATAAAAAACTGTATTTCTTTCCCCTTCAACGGCCCATCTAATATTCGCTTTTTGTTTCCAGAATATCTCCTCCATTCTAAGCAAATTATCCAATCCTTCCTTCCACCTCTCTAATACTAATGCACCCTCCGAACAATAATTCTGATCCAATTTAGACTCCTCCTCCTGAATCCTTCTTTCATGAACTTTTATATTATTAAATACATTCCCAAAGACTTCTTTGTTCCACAATTTGAGATGGGCTTTTACGTACTTGAGCTTAATGAACAAGTTAGCGACAGGATTCTCAAAAAAATGCCCCCTCCAATTTGTAGCAACCAAATTTAGGCATCCTGAAAACGAAAATAAGATATACTTCTCTGAATAGGTTCATCCAAAATCTTAACAAGCAAGGGGCAATGATCTGAATTACCCCTAGCAAGATGGACAACCTCAGTATTCTCAAATCTCAGAGGCCAAGCAGCATTCACCAAAACCCTATCCTACCTCTTTAGCATCCTGACTTGCTCCTGGCGATTATCACACCATGTGAACCTACTACCAGAAAAACCACAATCCAACTACCCTCCTTGATCAAGAAATTGGTCAAACTCCTCCACAGCTGTAATAGAAGGAAAGGCCCCTCCTCTTCTTTCTTCCGAAGTCAAAATGGAATTGAAATCACCTGCAATGATCCAAGGATCACTTGCTGGTATCTCATTACCCAACAAATGCTGCCATAATAACCTTCTCCTAACACGGTCACAACTTGCATATACTACAGACATCCAAAATTTTTCATTCCAAAAACATAAATTCCACAGTCAGCACCACAGCTGATGAGAGTACAACTCCTTGATTTTAACTCTACCATCCCAGAGCAACCAAATATTCCTTTCTGCACATTTGTTAAACCAGAAATGATTCAACCCTATTTTACCAGCAAAATTTTGCAGCTTTGACACTGATATTTTTGGTTCCTGAACTGCCACACAACATTCATCATTCATCTTGATAATTTTCTTTAATCTCCTACTTTTGCATCCTTTCCCTGCTCCCCTCATGTTCCATGAAATCAGATTAATCATAAATGAACAGAAGCAAAATTCCCACTAGAATTACATCTAGAACCTTCCTCTGACACTCTGAATGACCTATCTGTGTCCACCGCATCACCTACTGGGCTTTGAGAGCTATCTTGATCAGATACATACCCCTTATCTGGGGTATCTTCTTGCTTATAAGACCATATTGATCATCAACCGATCCAACATACCCCTCCCTATTCATAAAGTCACGGTCAACCAAAAAGGATGATCCCATTGAAGGAGCACAATAAAACCACACATTCTGGCAAATGGTCTTTAAAAACACCCCCATTTCCAGAACCAACGCTATTCTCGGCCTCTACATCAACATAATTATCATTCTTCTTTTCTCTATCAACTTCTAACTCATTCAGCAACATGTCCCCGCCAGAGGCATCCAGAACAGGAATAGAAGTAGAAGACAAAGCATCAACCCTCTGCACCTCATGATTCTGATTCCAATTCTCCATATCCTCAACAGGGATTTGAATGTTCGCAGAAGAGCCCACGGTCGAGGGAAGAGTTGATGGTGACGGGAGTTGAACAGTTGACTGGTTATGATGAAGATGAGGGTTAGGAAGCATAGGAATGATAGTATTACCACCTAAAGGATCCACAAAAGAAAGCGAATTTGACGCTGATGCAGATGGAAAATGTAGAGAAGTTTCCATGTTCGACGGTTTTTTCAATAAAGACGCGAAATTTCGGGTTATGTCTGGTGGTTTGGATGGGAAATTCAGCGAATTCTTTGGGGCTATGGTGGGAATCCGAGAAACATCAGGAGGCTTTGGTGGAATTTTGTTCAAACCCTAGGCCGAATCCATAATAAATGAACAGATCTACATGAAGTTAAAGCAAGAACTCAACAGGCAAAGAGTAAAGGGAGAGAGAAGTGAGAGTTTCTCTCATTAGAAACATTTCCTGCCCCCCTAAACCCTCCAAATCCCTAACCCCTAACCCCTAATCTGTTATCCGTAATCCCTAATCCCAAATCTCTACTCTCTAAGCCAATTCCCCAACCCCTACCTATAAACGGACAATCCAAAAAAAGAAAATAAAACATAATTACTCTAATAAAAAAACAAACAAAACACATATAATATAAGAAATACTATGCAATTATAGGTTGTGTAAAACACGAAAATAACAACGAAAAATAAAAAGGAAACAGTGGGATAATGAAAATGGTTGAGATTGAAAATAATAGAAATAATGATCATAACAAGTTAGAAACACAATAAGAAGTAGAAATAGTCATGGGTAAAACACATTTTACATGTAAAAGAAAATCAATATAATTTGGACAAATAGATATATTTATGTTCTCACAACTAAACTTTGTTTTGCAAGCTTATCTCGTCCATTCTACTAACAACTAAAATCAAAATACACATTACATTAGTTACGCACATAAAAAATGAAAATCCAAAAGATAACAAACAACAATAAAGGAAAAAAATTGGACAAGAATGATGAGAAGGTGGAGCAAAAGAACAATAAACCCAAATTCCTAACCCTTAATCTCAAATCCTTAATTCCTAATCCCTACTCCCTACTCCCTAATTCTTAATTCCTAATTCCTACTCCATAAGCCCTAATCCCCAATCCCTAATACCAACTCCGTATGCCCTAATCCCAAACCCCCAACTATTAACCCAAAACCCCCAAAACCCACAAGTCCGATAGCCCGTAAGCCCCAAGCATCCAAAGCCATAAGCCCTAAACCCTATTTGAATTCTATATTTTATTAATATCTCTAACATGCTATAAACTCCTAATTTTTCACCATTGTTTAACGATTTGCTCCCTCTCCAAGTAATTAAATTTTTTTTTTGACATTTAACAATTTCAATAGAAAAATAATAATAAAAAACATAAAATATAATTAATCTAATAGAAAAGCAAACAAAGCACATATAATCAAAAAAAATGATATACAATTATAGGTTGTGTAAAACACGAAAACAATAACGAAAAATACAAAACAAACAGTGGGATAATGAGAGTGTTGGAGATTAAAAATACTAAAAACAATAATCATAACAAGTAAGAAACACAAAAAGAAGTAGAAATAATCATGTGTAAAACATATTTCACATGTAAAAGAAAGTCAATCGAATTTCGACAAATAGATATACTTATCTTTTCACTCCTAAACTCCGCTTTCAAATTTTTCTCGTCCATTCCACTAACAACTGAAATCAAAGCACACATTAGATTAGTTACGCACATAAAAATAAAAATTCAAAACCTAACAAACAACAATAAAAGAAGAAAATAGGATAAGAATGATGAGGAGGTGGAGCAAAAGAAACAAAAGAACAACAAACCCAAATCCCTAACCCCTAACCCCTAACCCCTAATCCCTAATCCCAAAGCCCTAATCCCTCATCTCTAAAGCCCTAATCCCTAATCCCTCCTACCTAAGCCCTAATCCCTAACTATAAACTGAAAACCCAAAAAAAGAAAACAAAACATAATTAAACTAACAGAAAAACAAAAAAACACATATAATTAAAGAAATGCTATGCAACTATAGGTTGTGTACAACACGAAAACATCGAAAAATGAAAAAGAAACAGTGGGATAAGGAGAGTGTTTGGGATTGAAAATAATAAAAAGAATGATCATGACAAGTAAGAAACACAAAAATAAGTAGAAATAGTCATGTGTAAAACACATTTCACATGTAAAAGATACTCAATCGAATTTGGACAAATAGATATGCTTATCTTTTCACTCCTAAACTCCCCGTTGCAAGCTTATCTTGTCCATTCAACTAACAATTGAAATCAAAACACAAATTAGATTAGTTGCGCACATAAAAATGAAAATCTAAAAGATAAAAAATCACAATGAAGGAAAAAAAAAGGACAAGAATGGCGAGGAGGTGGAGCAAAAGAACAATAAACCCAAATCCCTAACCCCAAATCCGTTATCCCTAATCCCTACTCTCTACTCCCTAATTTCTAATTCCTACTCCCTACTCCATAGGCCCTAATCCCCAATCCCTAATCCCTAATCCCTAATACCTAATCCCCAATTAACAACTGAAATCAAAGTACACATTACATTAGTTACGCACATAAAAATGAAAATCCAAAACATTAAGAAAATAATAAAAGAAAAAAATAGGATAAGAATGATAAGGAGATGGAGCAAAAGAAGCAAAAGACCAATAAACCCAAATCCCTAATCCCAAAACTCTAATCTCCCAAACCCAAATCCCTAATCCCTAATTCCTAATTCTAAATTCCAACTCCTTAAGCCCTAATCCCTAATCCCAAATCCCTACCCCCTAAGTCCTAATCCCCAACCCCTAACTGTAAACCGACAACCCAAAAAAAGAAATAAAACATAATTAATCTAATAGAAAAGCAAACAAAGCGCATATAACCAAGATAAGCTATGCAATTGTAGGTTATGTAAAACATGGAAATAATAACAAAAAATGAAAAGCAAACAGTGGGATAATGAGAGTGTTGAGAATAGAAAATAAAAGAACACTGATCAAAACAAGAAAGAAACACAAGAAATTATAGAAATAGTCATGTGTAAAACACATTTCCCAGGTGAAAGAAAGTCATTCAAATTTGCACAAAAAGATATACTTATCTTTTCGCTCCTAAACTCGACTTTCAAGCTTATCTCGTCCATTCCACTAACAACTGAAATCAAAGTACATATTAGATTAGTTACCCACATAAAAACGAAAATCCAAAACGTAACAAAAACAATAAAAGAAAAAAATTGGAAAAAAAAGATGAGGAGGTGGAGCATAAGAAGCAAAAAGAACAATAAACCAAAATCCCTAACCCTTAATCCCAAATCCCAAATCTCTAAAGCCCTAATCCCCAATCCCTAATCCCTAATCCCTAGTTCCTAATCCCTACTCCCTAATCCCTAATCCCAAATCCCTACTCCCTAAGTCATAATCCTCAACCCCAAACTATAAACCGACAACCCAAAAAAAGGAAATAAAACAAAATTAATATAATAGAAAAAACAAACAAAACACAGATAACTAAAGAAATGCTATGCAATTATAGGTTGTGTAAAACATGAAAACAGTAACGAAAAATAAACAGTAAACAGTGAAAAAATGAGAGTGTTGGGTATTGAAAAAAATAAAAACAATGATCATAACAAGTAAGAAACACAAGAAGATGTAGAAATAGTCATGTGCAAAACACATTTAACATGTAAAAGAAAGTTAATCAAATTTGCACAAATAGATATACTTATCTTTTCGCTCCTGAACTCCTCTTTGAAGCTTATCTCTTCCATTCCACTAACAACTGAAATCAAAGTACACATTAGATTAGTTACGCACATAAAAATGAAAATCCAAAACATAACAAAAATAATAAAAGAAAAAAAATAGGATAAGAATGATGAGGAGGTAGAACAAAAAAACAATAAATCCAAATACCAAACCCCTAATCCCTAATCCCTAATCCCTAATCCCTAATCCCTAATCTCTAATCTCTAATCTCAAAAGCCTTAATCCCTAATCCCAAATTCCTATTCCCTAAGTCCTAATCCCCAACGCCTAACTATAAACCGACAACCCAAAAAAAAGAAATAAAACATAATTAATTTAATAGAAAAGCAAACAAATCGCATATAACCAAAGAAATGCTACGCAATTACAGGTTGTGTAAAACATGAAAACAATAACGAAAAATAAAAAACAAATAGCGGAATAATGAGAGTGTTGCGAAATGAAAATAATAGAAACAATGATCATAACAAGTAAGAAACACAAAAAGATTTAAAAATAGTCAAGTGTAAAACACATTTCACATGTAAAAGAATGTTAATCAAATTTGCACAAATATATATACTTATCTTTTTGCTCCTAAAATCCGCTTTCAAACTTATCTCGTCCATTCCATTAACAACTGAAATCAAAATGCAAATTACATTAGTTACACACATAAAAATAAAAATTCAAAACATAACAAAAGTAACAAATATGATAAGAATGATGAGGAGGTGGAGCAAAAGAAGCAAAAGAACAATAAACCCAAATCCCTAACCCCTAACCCCTAATCCATAATCCGTAAGGCCTAATCCCTAACCTCTAAAGGCCTAATCCCTAATCCCTAATCTCAAATTCCTACTCCCTAGGCCCTAACTATAAACCAAATACCCAAAAAAAAGAAATAATAATAAATCTAATAGAAAAGTAAACAAATCACATATAACCAAAGAAATGCTATGCAATTAGAGGTTGTGTAAAACATGAAAACAATAACGAAAAAAGAAAAGCAAACAGTGGTATAATGAGAGTGTTGGGAATAGAAAATATTAGAACAATGATCATAGCAAGTAAGAAACACAAGAAGATATAGAAATAGTCATGTGTAAAACACATTTCACACGTAAAAGAAACCCATTCAAGTTTGTACAAATAGATATACTTATCTTTTCGTTCCTAAACTCTGCTTTCAAGCTTATCTCGTCCATTCCACTAACAACAGAAATCAAAATACACATTAGATTAGTTATGCACATAAAAATAAAAATCCAAAACATAACAAAAACAATAAAAGAAAAAAATATGATAAAAATGATGAGGAGGGGGAACAAAAGAAGCAAAAGAACAATAAACACAAAATCCTAACCCCTAATCCCTAATCTTTAACGCCTTAATCTCTAATCCCAA